AAAGTACAGAGAGGATGGGGGAGTGATGCTGTGCGCCTTTCTTTCTGGACCAAGTAAAAGTAGTTTAAGAGAACGAGAAGCTCGTTGCTACGTGGATGTCGAGAGGCAAAAAAAAAAAAAAAAAATTGCAAGAAAGGAAAAGGTATTTCTTAGTAAAGAAGGAAACAGGGGTTTTGTCAGGAGGTAGCTTCAAAGTTTTTTTTTTTTGGAAAAAAAGGAATTGGGCGGTTGTAAGAATTGCAAGTGTCTCACACAACTGGGGGTCGATTATTTAAATCCGTTTCCATTTCCACTTCCATTTTCATTTCCACTTCCATTTTCACTTCCATTTCCACTTCTGCTTCCACTTCCATTTCCACATTTTATAATTTCTACTTCCATTCCCCCTTGTATTTTTTCTAATTTCTATTCCCATTTCCACTTCCACTTTTTCCAATTTTCATTTCCACTTTTTTAAATGTCTTTCCCAATTCCATTTTCCCTTTTTCTAATTTCTATTTCCATTTCTGATTCTATTTTTTTTCTAATTTCTTTTTCCACTTCCACTTTTTCCAATTTCTATTTCAATTTCCACTTTTTTAAATTCCTTTACTACTTCCACTTTCACTTCCATTTTCCCTTTTTCTAATTTCTATTTCCATTTCTGATTCTATTTTTTTCTAATTTCTTTTTCCACTTCCACTTTTTCCAATTTCTATTTCAATTTCCACTTTTTTAAATTCCATTACTACTTCCACTTTCACTTCCATTTCCCCTTTTTCTAATTTCTATTTCCATTTCCCCCTCCATTTTTTTAAAATTTCTATTTCTACTTACACTTTTTTAATTTTCCTTTCCCACTTTCATTTCCACTTCCAATTTTTCCAATTTCCTCATTTACTTTTTACAATTTACATTCCCACTTCCCTTTTTTCTAATTTCTATTTCCATTTCAATTTCTATTTGGATAAAAGGTAATTCTGTAAAGTAAAAATTATGTGGAAATTAGAAAAAGAGGAAGTAGAAATGAAAGTGGGAATAGAAATTGAAAAAGTAGAAGTGGAAATGAAATTGAAAAGTGGAAATGGAATTGGAAACTGGAAAAAGTGAAAATGGAACTGGAAATTGAAGAAAGTGGAAATTTAAATGGAATTGGAAAACTGGAAATGTAAATGGAATTGAAAATTGGAGATGGAAAAGTGGAAATGGAATTGGAAACTGGAAAAAGTGGAAATGGAATTGGAAAACTGGAAATGTAAATGAAATTGAAAATTGGAAAAGTGGAAATGAAATTGGAAACTGGAAAAAGTGGAAATGGAATTGGAAAATTGGAAATGTAAATGGAATTGAAAATTGGAAAAGTGGAAATGGAATTGTAAACTGGAAAAAGTGAAGATGGAATTGGAAATTGAAGAAAGTGGAAATTGAAGAAAGTGGAAATTTAAATGGAATTGGAAAACTGGAAATTTAAATGGAATTGAAAATTGGAAATGGAAAAGTGGAAATGGAATTGAAAACTGGAGAAAGTGGACATGGAATTGGAAAACTGGAAATGTAAATGGAATTGAAAAACTGGAAATGTAAGTGGAATTGAAAATTGGAAATAGAAATGGATTTACATAATCGATCCCCTAGTCTCTGTCTCTCTCTTTCAATACTAAGAAAATTTTTATTCCTCCTCTACAATTGCTTTTAATTTGTTAAATTTTATTTCCCTAAATTCACCCTTTCTCGTTCATCACTACTTGTTCTCTTTTGTTTTGTTCGCAATTAATATGCGACGCTATGTTTTACAACCTTACAAGTTGCCTTAATCGTATCGCATTTTCGCAGAGGAACTTCCTTAATTCTCTCTCTCTCTCTCGCTCCTTTTTTTTATTAGATGCGAAGAGCTTAAGCGTCTGGAAATTACTACGATTCTTTGGAGGGTCATTAATTTTTGCATTTCATAGTTATACACTACATATATCTATCTACTTGTTTCGTGTACTTTTAGTAACTATTTCATAATGATTAAAAAAAAAAAAAAATTTTATTTATTTTTCCTAATAAAAAAACTTAAAAAAACAAAACTTTTTTGTCATTTAAAATTCAATGAAAGAATTTGTATTAAATTAAAATCACTTGTAAAAGAGAAAGTTTTGTGGAAATTTGAGCCGATAAAAAAAAAAATTAACTATTTATTTGACACTTGTCAGAGACATTTTTTCCAAAAGGTTTCACGTGTCGAAAAAATAACTTTTACTGACTCGATTTTCACATACGGGTACATGTATATATATATATTCAATTCGTTGGTTCCAATGAGCAATGCAGGACATATTTTTTTTTTTTGTTTTTTGAAAAAAAAAAAAATATATATGAGCTGCATGTGACATGGATCTGACTGCGAATATAAAATTGGAGCAATTTCCAATTTTTATTCCTAACGCAATGAAGCGGAGGTGAATTTTACGATTTATTATTGACATAAATAGAAAAAGAGAGAGAGGGACCATGGATCGAATGTTCTATATTCGAATATTCATTTCATATTTATGAAATAAAGAAGCAGAAACATATATACTCAAAAAAATATTCACGTTTTCGAAAATATTTTTTCATTTTCCTTTTAAAAATATTGTCAAAAAATGATAATTTACACATTTTAGCAAAAAAAAAAAATAATAATAATAAAAACAGGAAATAAATGATATTTTCACATTTAAATTTCTCCTCATTTTTTTTTTTTTTTTTTTTTTTTTAATAAATTTACATTCCCGTTTGTCTATTATCTCGTTCGAGTGCACATGCACTTTTGCTTTTAGTTTGTGTGTGTGTTTCTTTTGCAAAGCTGAAAAGCTGCTTGATTTCAAAGATCGTCGTTCACGGAATTAAACTTGAAAATTTCATTTTCAAACGACCAACATGAGATATCCCACGGGCGTAATTCGTTGGCTTAAAAAATTCAAAGCGTCGAACGATGGGAGCTTGAAATGATAAACGCGTCTGCGTAAAAAAAGAAGGAGTCTAATAAAGGAAAACGTCTATATAAATAAATATACAATTTTTTCAAAAATTTATAAACATATAAAAGAACATTCTGTATAATATAAATCTTGCCAAAAAAAAAGTATTATAAATAACTAAAATTTCAATTATAAAAAAGAAAATAAAAATAACGTTGACTTGTTTTAAATTTTCAACGATATTATTCGTTGGAATTTTTACCTTTTTGTTACAAAAAAATGAGAATGTAAAAAGGTAAATATAAAAAAAAATAAAAAGGTAAAATATAAATGGGTCATTCTTTGTCAAAAAAAAAACATCCCCTCTGCTCAAAATAGATTTAATTAAAATAATCTCTACATGGACTTAAATTACAGCGAATTTTGGCTATTTTTTGATGCCGTATGGCACTTTTTAAATATTAAACATGGTAGACCACAAATGTTAAAAAAAACCTTCAATGTTATCAAAAAAAAAATAATATTTTTTTAATACAAGGTTAAAAATTATTTTTTTTTTTTAAATAAAAATCGACAGAAATTTACATTATCGACTAATGGTAAAAGCAGGAAAATGACATTAAAAATTACCGACATAGAAATCTACATTACCGACTGATGATAAAACGGGCAAATGATGACATAAAAAATTACCAACATAGAAATCTACATTACCGACTGATGGTGAAGAGAGGAAGAATTTTTTTTATTTTGAAATTTTTTCGACCAACAGTCGGTAATGTAGATTTCTGTGCCGTTAATCGAATTTTAATTTAGAAAAATTTTGGTAGAAAAAATAATAATGAAAATTTTTTGTATTGAAAATTTTCAAAATTCAACACGTTGAAATCAATTTCCAAGTGAAGGAAATAATGAAGAAAAGAAATGTAATTTTTCAATTTCTCCCTTAATGCCGTTAATAATTTAACGGTAAAATCAGAAAATAAGGATTTATGAATCAACGCCGTGGTGCATATCGAAGTAATTTGTCGAACCTTTACAAATTGGTTGACGCACGCTTTAGTGAGAAACAAGCGTTCACGATGCGAAATTACACAATTGATTGTTAGTGACTTTGAAGCTAACCGCGAGAAATTTCTGACAACGTGAAACGTCACATTTGACAGATGAGAGAAACGTAAATTTCCTTCTTTTTTTTTTTTTTTTTGCAAAAATGACAAGTGAACAATGATTTTCACTATATATATACACGATTTAACGTTTCGCTTTTCTATATTATCAATATGATGGGTTGCAAATTTTCCCAATATGATCCGCTACTGTTCATATCCTGACGTAATATCAATTGTAAATCCAGAACGTTCTTCTCTCTCTCTCTCTCTTTCCCAATCAATTTTCAATTTTGACACACTCTATGCTTGCAATATCGACTGAAGTGCAATAAAGTGAACTAATCAATCTTTACACTTTTTTTTTGTAACCGTCTCTTTGAAAATCAATATTTAAAATTGAAAGCCACTTTCTAATCTAGAATTATACATTTATGTATATTTAAAAAAAATTTTAATCTTCCTTTCTTTTCAATTGTATATTTTAACTATTTTTTTTTATTTATTCTCAATTCAATAATAGAGATGGAAAATATTTTAATTAAAAACTAAAATTTTCACCACTGTGCGCAGGAAAAAAATTCCAGTCAAAATAGTTTAGATTCTCATCAGTAGATTTTGAATATTCTTGAAATTTATCAAAATTTTTAATTTTTAAATGGTTAATAACTACCTTAATTTAATGAAATAATAATTATAATTATATTATTATAACTATAATTCTCGTGATTATATTCAGTGAACAAACTGTTTTAATATTGAACAAGATAAAAAATTATAGTTTTTAGTAATCCCTATCATATAAAATGATAATTAATTTTATTAAAATAAACTTTCTTTTTCTGTGAATTTTAAAGATATATATATACTTGTTATCACTTTTGATATTTAAGTTCCGTTATTAAACAGAAAGACTCTTTTGTCTTTTATCTGCACAGTAATTCAATTAATCTGAATATAAATAGTTAAATAAAAAGTCAACAGAGTCTCAGTAGTTGTCGATCAGTAGAGAACTAATTGTGTGATTTTAAAAAAGTGAGTTCCAAATATAATTTTTAATATTATAAATTATAAATAATGTTAATATAAATTAAAATATATTTATAAATTTTTTTTAAAATTAAAATCTAATATTTTCAAAATAACAATATTCAGTAAAAAAAAAAAAATATTTCAACTGTTTTCAGATCATTAAGCAAAATGAAATTTTTCATTTTTATGATTTTAATTGCAAGGGGAACAAGTGTAAATCAATATTATTCAACATCAACAACAAATTTTACCAATGAAGTTCTTTCCATACCATTTGGAGATTGCGACGAAACGAAAAATCTTGTTTCTTTAAATTTATCATATACAGGCATGATTCAAATTAATGAAAATTTTATAAAAAATACACACGTGAGTTGCTTAAATTTCTCAAAAAATAGCATCAATTTTATTGCACCTTCATTCATTAAAAATCATCCAAAATTGAAAGTTTTAAATCTTGGACATAATCAAATAGAATTAAATGAATTACATCTTAATCCATATTCAACAATTAATCAATTAAATACACTTATTCTTGACAATAATCTTATAGACAAAAACTCACAATTAATTCTCAATGATTGTTTTTATAATTTGGAAAATCTTTACATTCGACAAAATAAATTAGAAAGTATTTCTGCATTATGTAAATTGGAAAAATTAAAATACCTATACTTATCAGACAATTTTATATTTTCGGAGAATAATATTTTCAATGGTGAAAATTATTTTAATTTATCACATCTTTATTTGGACAATAATAAAATTCATACTTTTAATGGTACACGATTTTCTAATTTAGAATCTCTGCAATTAGAAAACAACGAAATTGAATATTTGTGTAATGATTATTGTAATTTAAATTTAGTCGGAATGACGAAATTAAAATATCTTTCTGTAGCAAGAAATAAATTAACAACTGTTTTTTCAGATTCTTTTCACGATACAATTAATTTAGAAATTTTAGATCTTTCAGAAAATAAAATTGCCACTATTAGTAATATTGTATTTGAAAAGATAAAATTTCTTAAAATTTTACTTCTTAATGGCAATAAATTAATTATATTACCAGATTTTTCTTCTTTTTCAAAAATTGAAATTATGAATTTCAATAATAATGAACTTAATAGTACATATAGTAAACAATTTTTTGAATTAAAATCTTTAAAGAAATTGTCATTAGGCAATAATTTGATAAAAAATGTGGAAAAATTATCATTTATGAATCTACCATCTTTGGATGAACTCGATTTATCTGATAATATACTTGAAAATCTTCCTAATGAATGGATGAAACCACAAAATAATCTTAAAATTTTGAAATTAAACTTAAACTATTTTACAAATTTCGATCAACTATCAATTGAAAATGCACCAGTTTTGAAACAAATATTTCTTCAAAAAAATCCATTGACTACATTAAATGTAATGTCCTTAATGCATATTGCAAAAGATGCAAATATCTATATTGATAATGAATCAAATAATTAATTAACTCAAATTAAAAAAAATGTAAAATTGCTACTACTATATAATTATTATACTTTAAAATTTTTTTAATTCTTACTGTAACACTTCGTTTTAAATTGTACACAATAAAAATTTTCTTACAAGCATTAAACCAAGTTTATCATAAGAATTGATTTTAAATTTTTGTAAGTTTTGTTTTTTGTAAAATAAAAATGAAAAACTTTTTACAAAATATTTTCTTTGCTCCTTAAAATGAAAATTTTTAATGCATATTTTCCTCTCTATAATATTGCTCAAAAATAATAATTTAAGAAAATGAAATTTTTTTCTCAAAACAAGAATATTTTTTGTCACTGCGTTTAAGATAGATCATTTCTATAAAGCGCAAAGAGTAGGGAAACATTAATGTTTGGTCTTGCGAATGTTGCCAATATATATATAAATATATCGCCAGCGGGTCATTCAAAATTATTCATAAACATGCGAGAATTGGACGAAGGGGGAGGATGTGACAGATTACAATATTGCTCTCTCGGTCAATGTAGCAAACTAACACGAAATACCTTTCTCACTATATATATATATATATATATATACACATTCTTGGCAAACATGTTACGAGCGTATTACGCGTGTCGTTACCAGCTCTGTCAATGACTCACTGGTTACCATCAAACCGTTAATCCTGTTATTATTCAAACCCATTTATGTTTCAAGTCTATAGCTCACTTTGTACTATATATAAAGCTACAAAAATGTATCTGGATTTTTCAATTTTTAATTTCCCTCGGCGAAAAAATATTTTTGACAAATTGTTGTCTCGATACGAGAAAAACAGAAATATCTCAATTAATATTTATCTCTGTGATTTAACATTAAATCAACTTTGAATCTGAAATATTAAACCTACTTTAACCCTACTTTAAACCTGCTTTGAACCATCCCTTGAACCTAATTTGAACTTTTCTTGAACTTACTTTAAACCTACAGTAAAGCTATTTTGAATCTACAATAAACTAAAACCTACATTACACCTAATTTGGACCTTCTCTGAACCCTCTTTGAACCTGCTTTGAACCCTCTTTGAACCTACTGTAACCCTACTTTGTACGTAATTTAAACCCTTTTTTAACCTACCTTAAGCCTACTTTTAAAATATATTAAAGCTGCTTTGAATCTAAACTAAACATAAACCTACTTTAACCCTACTTTGAACCAAATTTAAACCTTCTTTGAACCTTCTTGAAACCTACATTAAAGCTACTTTGAACCTACTGTAAGCCTACATAAAAGCTACTTTAAGTCTATATTGAACTTAAAATTTTTAAGCCTACTTTAACACATTAAAGTTAATTTGAAAATAAAGTAAACTTAATCCTACTTTAACCCTATTTTGGACCTAATTTGAATCTAATTTAAACCTTCTTTGAACTTACTTTAAGCTTTCATTAAAAGCTACTTTAAACCTACTGTGAGTCTACTTTAAACCTACATTAATCATATATTAAAGATACTTTGAATCTGAACTAAATTTAAACCTACTTTAACTCTGCATTGACCTTAATTTAAACCCTCTTTGTACCTATTTTATATCTACAGTAAAGCTACTTTGAATCTACATTAAACTAAAACCTACTTTATACCTACTTTGGACCTGCTTTGAACCTACTTTAACCCTTATTTAAACCCTCTGGGAACCTACTTTAAACCTACAGTAAAGTTACTTTGAATCTACATTAAACTAAAACCTACTTTACATCTACTTTGGACCTACGTTGAACCTACTTTAAACCTGCAGTAAACCTACTTTGAATCTACATTAAACTAAAACCTAATTTGGACCTGCTTTGAACCCTCTTAGAACCTACGTTAACCCTACTTTCACCCGTATTTAAATCCTCTTGGAACCTACTTTAAACCTACAGTAAAATTACTTTGAATCTACATTAAATGAAAACCTACTTTACATCTACTTTGGACCTACTTTGAACCTACTTTAAACTTGCAGTAAACCTACTTTGAATCTACATTAAACTAAAACATAATTGGACCTGCTTTGAACCCTATTTGAACCTACTTTAACCCTACTTTCACCCGTATTTAAACCCTCTTGGAACCTACTTTAAACCTACAGTAGTTACTTGGATTCTACATTAAACTAAAACCTTCTTTACATCTACTTTGGACCTACTTTGAACCTACTTTAAACCTGCAGTAAAGCTACTGTTAATCTACATTAAACAAAAACCTACTTTACACCTACTTTGAACCTGCTTTAAACCTTATTTAAACCTACTTTAACCCTACTTTAACCCTACTTTAACCCTACTCTAACCCTTATTTATACCCTTTTTGAATCTACCTTAAGTCTGCATTATAGCTACAATGTACCTACTTTATAATTACATTAAATCTACCTAAAACCTACAAAATAGAATCTGGTTTAGAATTGTTAATTATTTATATTTGTAAATTCGTTGCATTTAGTTCCTAAAATAAGAATATATATATATTTAAAAAAAAAGTTTTCGAATTTAATTTCGAAATAAAAATGAAATTCCATAGTCATAAAAATAGAAAATAAAAATAAAAGTTCCTAAAACACACAAAGGAATGCGGCAATTTTTCTCGGATAATAAGGTAGTTTATAAACCACATTAGAGTTTCGCAGGAAGAAAATGGAGTGGTTTTGAGAAACGGGCTAATGGTGCAACCAAGTTGGCGGTACAACGAAATCGTTGGGCGGTGAAGGAAACTTGCTTTTGTAATGTGAGAGGTCGAACACACTATACTTTAACACCTTATATATGTATATTTAAATTATCTCATTTATAATATTAACAAAAAATGTTTTTTAAATTTATTATAAGTATTACTATGCTTATTATTATTTAATTTAAATAATTTTATTAATTTTTTTTATAAATTAAAAAAAAAATATATTTTTTTTTTTAAATAAAGAACCAAATATATATTCTCTCTTTCCAACTTCTTTTCCTCTCATTTTTCTTCCTGGGAATCTCTTCACGATATGACTCGCATTTTTAGGAATTCGCGGATTCAGCCGAAAATATTCAGTCCGCGCGGGGACGTGATAAAATTAATGAGCCCCGAAAACGGACGAGAAAGAGAGAGAGAGAGAGAGGACAGAATTCTCGCTCGTATTTCGTTTTCTCGCATCACGTAAGAGCATTTTGTGCTACCGCGTGTTTTTCGAAACGAGGTCGTCCAAGCGAGACTCGTCAACCGCCTTGAAAACGCGATCACGAATGGCAGAAACAATTTTCCCTTTTTCTAACCTCACCCTCCGCCCCCCACAAAAGAATACGACACTCGATTAATATCAATCATGGTTTAATATTTATGTTGAATTTCAAAAAAAAAAAAAAAAAAGAAAAACAATACTTTCTTGTTAACAATATTTTTGAAAAAATTTTAAAAGAAAACAAAATATTTTTTACATTTTTAGTTTTATCTGTACAGAAAATATTTTAAATCTACTTTGTACCTAAATTGGACCTAGGAACATAATTAATTAGGAACATAATTTGAAAAAACTTTGGTCCTACTTTGGACTTACATTGGACTTATATAGAACCTATTTTGAACCTGCATTGTTCCTATATACGACCTATTTTCAACCTACATTGAACCTATACAGAACATATTTTAAACCTTCTTGGTTCTATATAAGACCTAAATTAGACCTATAGTAGTTCTACTTTTAACTAAAATTGAACCTTCATAGAACCTACTTTGAATCTACCTTGAACGTATATAGAACCTACTTTACTTTTACTCTGGACCTACGTAGAACCTATTTTGAACCTGCATTGGGCCTATATATGACTATATAGAACCTTCTTGGACCTATATAGAACCTACTTTAAACCTATATTGGACCTACATAGAACTACATTGAACCTACTATGAAACAATATTGAACCTATACGAAAAATAATTTAAGCCTTCTTTAAAGCTATATAGAACCTACTTTTAACCTATATAGAACCTACTTTTAACCTATATAGAACCTACTTTTAACCTATATAGAACCTACTTTTAACTTATATACAACCTACTTCGAAACTACTTTGGTTCTACTTTGGACATATATAGAACTTACTTTGAGCCTAGATTGGACCTTTATTAAACCTACTTTCAACCTACATTGAACTGATGCAGAAAATATTTTAAACGTGCTTTGAACCTGAATTAGACCTTCATAGAACCTACTTTACTCTTACTTTGGACCTACGTAGAACCTATTTTGAACCTGCATTGGGCCTATATACGACTAAATAGAACCTTCTTGGACCTATATAGAACCTACTTTGAACCTACATAGAACCTACCTTAAACCTATATAGAACCTACTTTGAACCCATATTGAACCTATAACAGATCTATTAATTATTTCAATTGCAAAAAATATTCAATTTTCTTTTTTATTTGAAAATAAAAATAAATAATTCAATTCTATTAAATAATAAAATAATTTATCGTAACTTAAACACTTAAACAGCAGAGTTTACACAATTCAAGAGGGAATTCTCTGGAATAACTAATTGTATAATAAGTTAATTTGATTTGATTAACGCCAAAAGAGAGAAGTTATCTCCAAAAGGTTATCAAAAACGATTCCCGTGAAAGATGCTCTGAACTATAATTGTATCTTTTATTTTATTTCTTATATATATAACAAAGTTAAGTGTTCTGACAAGAAATGTATATATATATAAAGAAACGATCAAAGAAACCCGCCCGCTTATTTAACCGTATTTTACATCTTCTTTTGCCTCTTTGACAAACGGAGAAAAAGGGTTTTCCGCGAGATAGAAGAAGGGAGGGGGGAGGTGCAAAGAGGAAACAGTTGTGAAAGACTTTCACAAGTTGTGCGCGGATGGTTCACTCTCGGGAAATCGAACTTTGCTTTCGTTAGTCTAAGTAAAGTTGGGTAAAAGCAAATGTCAAAAAAAAAGAGAAGAAGATAAAAAAAACCATCATCATCATCCCTACAACGGAGAATCAAATTAAAAGAAGTAAACTATTCAAATGACAAACTCGGTCCACGGCCTTGACAAAAGCCTCCGGGAGGAAAGAAGATAAAATTAAGCTCCGTAAACAGTGAATAATAAACAAAGTCATTTAATTCATGCCACAGAAGATTTTTTTTTTTTTTTTTTTTTTTGTTCCACGGAATAAATCAACACGAGAAATTTTTTCTCCGAGGT